ATAATCCATTCAAAATCCACAACAATCTGTTAATTTGTAGAAAGTATGCTATTGCCTAAATTTATGTAATAAAAGTTTGTTTATTGGTTTTTTAAAATAATTTTTCCGTTTTTTCTTTTGAACTTCAGTGAATAGAACATCAAGACCATTTGCTGGCACTTTACCTTGCTTATTTTCTACACTCTCTGACAAATACTCTGAAAAACAGTTAAAACAATGTGATATTAAAAGTGAACAACATTTTAGACAAGCATCAGGAGATAAAGTAAAGGGTCGTGTAAAACTATTTGCTAAGTATTTTACTGAATTATTTTCATTGATTGATTCTTTAAATGATTATTCAATCTGTGAAAGACATTACAATCAAATTGTTAATAATGATTCATTACTTGAGAAATTAAAAGCTGAAGATAACTCTAGTTTTTTTGAAGAAGGTCAATGAAAAAAATTTAAGATGACTAATAATAATCCAATTCAACAAGAAATCTTGGAGAAACAAGATCAGGATAACACTAATATTTTATTAGAATCAGAAAAAATAAAAAAATTAATCGATTCTGAGTTCCAACAAGTAGAATATATTAACAACATAAATGAATATAAGAAAAAAATCAATGAACTTGTATCTCAAAATAAAGAATTATTATCTGAAAATAAAGAATTATTATCTGAAAATAAAGCATTATTATCCGAAAATAAAGAATTATTATTCGAAAATAAAGCATTATTATCTGAAAATAAAGCATTATTATCTGAAAATAAGGAATTATTATTCAAAAATAAAGAATTATTATCTGAAAATAAAGCATTATTATCTGAAAATAAAGAATTATTATCTAAAAATAAAGAATTAAAAGATGAGAGATTTGATGATCAAAAAATAAGGGTTGAATATGTAATTGAAATTGCTAAAAAAGAGCGTAAAATTTTTACAATCATCAGGAAAATAAATCTCATGTAAACCTACGCAGGGTTTAAAACTGACCAGCATTATGCGGAAATGTTAACAGAATTACCAAAATATCAACATAATGCTGGCCAATTCTGAACCCTACGTAGGTTTGTGTAAAATTTATTTTCCTGATGATGATATCATTGATTTAATTAATGACAAGAATAGATTTAGTTTAGATAACCTGTTAGAGTATTCTACTTCTCAATGG